TGCCAAATCGCCTATTTCAAAGACCTGTTAACAAAAAAGTAGCCATAAAAAAATTCCAAAAAAAATATTTGTTTGCTTCTAAACCTTATATTGACAACTTACATTATTAAAAAGTTTGAAATTCCACCATGACCAAAAATCATTGCACCACCTTAAAGTCTTTTCTCCAGCACCCTAAGGATAGCAGCGGGGACAGCGGCGGATTGTTACATCTACATAATCCAAATTCTTCAAAAAATGGCATTAAGAATCATTGAGAACCTACAACCACAAGAGCATTGTAAACCATACTTCGTTAAAAACAAAATCCTTACCGTTCCAAACCTATACATCCTTGAAGTTGTAAACCTCCTAAAACTAAACCCCCCAAAGCTTAGGGAAAACTGCCACAAATATAGCTTGAGAAACACAAAAACAAACTTCGATATCCAACAACACAGATTGTCAAAAACCAGCAAAATACCCCAAATCATGGGGTCAAAAATCTTTAATGCTCTCCCAGAACATATAAAACAAATCAAATCTCCAAAACCTTTTTTTAAATCACTCAAAGAATATTTAGTCCAGAAACCATTCTACAAATTAGATGAGTTCTTTGAAGAGCATACTGCTCACCACAAAGATAGGCTTTAAAATAAACCCACTTTACACCATACACACACACATTAACACTACAATAACACAACAAAAAAAGAAGATGACGATTCCCTAGTCTCTACGACTACGGAGAAGAGGACCAAGGTAAAAGGTAAAAGGTAAGGTAAAGCACTAAATCACATACCTATATCTTGACAGTCACTTTACAGTATTTAATTCAAGCCACAGGCCATACATCCATTACTCCTGAGATATTTGCCTCCTAATAAATTCGGGTTGATGAAGGTTTGCTGTATTAATGCCATTAATGGTAAGCCAATGTAAATCGAATTATCGTTACAACAGAACATTCCATATTGGTTTCAAGAAACACTTCTACAAGTACAAATTCAACGTAGGCCTACAGTAATAGATTGTTGTTCTCATATTGATTACCACCCTTTTGGATCTATTGTAGAAAATGCTGAAGTAGGCCTATGTTCTGTCCAATTTATAGACTACAAAAGAGCGTTTCATTATTTTATCCATATATTAACAAAAACACTACCATGGACAAAAGACATTACATAGTACCCTAATTAGTAAGACCATAGATAAAACATAGGTACATAGTAGATTTATCATCCTTATGGAACAGCAAGCCAATTTTATTGTTAGTCCTGTCCGGTGCACTGCAGAGGTCGTGTTTTGTTTACAATTTGTTTCTTGGCATTCCAGTCATTTAAAACCCCGTTTAACCAAATATTAACGATCTAATCGTAAAAAATAACTCATCCACTAGTTAGGCCTATATAACCGAACAGTAAAGCTCAAATCATGAAATTAACTAAGGCCGGTTTTATGCACCGCGACAGTCGCGTGTCGCGTGTCGCGGCGCGACTCAAGTTCTATTGAGTTAAATGGGAGCATTTATGCACCGCGACAGCGACAAACTGCCGCGGAGCGACTCTAAATACCCGCGACAGGTTTTAGAATCGCAGCTTCAAAAAATGTGTCGCGCGCGGTTCAAGTTCTATTGGATCAAATGGGCACGTTTATGCACCGCGACAGTCGCGGCGCGACAGTAGTATTTTTCATACTCCACGTGGTATATTCTCCATATATTTATATTGATTAATGTTAATAATTAGTATATAAATGAGTTCTTTACTCTTTATTTGTAATATAAATTACATGATTATATTATGTAATGACATTTTTAAGAGGGTTGACCCAATTCCAACTGTAAATTGTATGTGTTGTTTAAATAACTGGGGTATTGTCATCAACGTGTACAACACTACAGGGTCTATATTTAAACAACTTAATAATCACTTCTACATCAAAACACAACACACAACATTGGATTGAGAACAGACTGATTTCTTTAATTCCCCCACCACCGGATGCGAGTTTATGCGACAAAAAAGTGTCGCTGTCGCGTGACATTTTGGTCAGCCGCAAGACGTGGCGCGACTCGCGACTGTCGCGGTGCATAAAACCAGCCTAATAGAAACATAATTTCGTCAACACTAACAATCAGTGTCACCGGACATGAACTAGACACGAAAAACGAGCTTCAAAAATTACAATGGGATGGGAAGTCTACTTGTGCTGGTTAGTCCGGTAAAACCGACTCTTAAATAAAAGAGAAACAACTTGGCTATTCGATATCATCATTCTAATCTTAAATTCCAACCTAAAACACAGAACTGCGTAAGCTTTCACAATCTTAACCAACCACGAATATTCTCACTCTACAAAGACGTCTACGCAATCAATTCGCTCCATAAATTAAATAGTTTTAGGCTAATTACCCAGAGCAAATTGCAGTTCAGAGGTTATCTCTGCCTAGACTACGCTATCTAATCAACAGCGCTGTGACAGGAATGTATCAAGATAACCCGATATGGTTAATTAACGAACCGATCACAGTGGAGATCTTTCACACAGCGTACAACCCAGCTTCAGTGGGGCAACCGTGAGAAATCGGGGGAATAGACAGAGATATGCTGGAGTTTGTGGAACAAGGTTACGGGGGTAAAATATTGTTGTATAACTATAGTTATAGCATGTGATTATACATGGAGAGTGATACGTTTAGGCTTTTTATTTATTTCCCAACGGATTGCACCTTTTTACAAAATATGTGTGTACAATTGAGATGGCATTTGCAATATTACTAATTAGAGAAGTAATAACAATGGTAATAACAAAGTGATAATAAATAGTAATAATAAGTAGCTTTGTAACATGGTTTATCTAGACCGATCTAGACCTAATATAAAACACACTAGTAGATTTCTCATCCTAATGGAACAGCTGTGAAGCATTCATAGGCCTACATATTATACATATCGAGTCATGATGAGGCTAAACATAATTTTCTATGGAACTATATATCCATAGAACCAGCCATATAACAAAACATCTTTGAGACCAAACCTAAACATATGGCTACAGTACCTACAATCTTAGCCATATCTAAGAACTCAGGCCACTCAAACGCCAAACGTTAGTAATTATGACACATAAGCTACTACTTTTTGGTATGACGTAATTCCTATTAAGTTTTTTTCAAATACCCCAAATCAATTAGAAAGTTTGATAGACATTTCCAAATTACTGCAACCCTGTGTTACCTGTACGGTCGTAGCCTTCCAATTCACGAGCCTTAATAAACTGCATCTCGAAAAAATTGTTGTAGGCCTATATCCTAAACTAAACAATCTTACAAGGATTTCAACAAAATTAACGGAGCGTTCAAGCAACAATCTAATTGTAGGAAGGGCCCAGATACAATTTTGACAACACTTCTTTTCATCAGAAGTCCAACCAACATCCATCGTATTTAATCCAAGCCCCAGTGTCAATTTAGACGTACCAGTCAACTCCCAATTATTTTAATTTTTTAATTAAAATTTTAACAATTCCAGCAACAAATCAACGAGTCCCAGAGGACGTGACTATATTATTTATGGTCCATATTAGACAGCTGATTAAACATTTCAAAAAACCTTGCAGCCCAGCCACCAGCAATCGTAGCACAATCTGGACGAAACTCCCCATTGGCCATTTTGACAAAACAGCATCCACCTCAGAAGATTTGAAAAGGGAAAGACGCGAACCCCCGAATGACTATCAGAATCCTCGAATACCATCCCCGGGCGGGGGCAGGGCCCTGGGAGACGGAGGCTGAGAGGTTTTTTGCCCCCGGGGGCAACAAAGAGCGCCGAAAGGGAATTTAAACACGGCGGGCCCACCTGGTACGGCCGTTCCGAAAACATCGACCCGGTCGCAACAGGTTTTCTGGGAAGCAGGGCCGGGGTGATTTAAAAGGATAATTTTAAGATTTAAATTATCCTATGTTGATGGAAATGCAAATTTTAGAAGAATTAATGTGTGTTAACGTATATGCTAAATTTAATGTATTTAGTATTAAATTTCTTCAGGTTTAACTTAGTAAAAGTACGTTAATATTGAAGCTTTTATTAATTACAGTTTTAGCAATCAAAAGAAATAGCTCACGGAATTCGCCGAGTATTCTGAGAAACTGCGATTCATGTTAGAGCAATTGCACCTTAGGATTCACGTTACGGAGTATTTTGTACACAATTAGATCCGGATGATTGCATTATATTTCGTGACTTATATTTTTTTCTTGTGTGCAAGTAATGCTGAATTTTCGAAGTTATGCGTAGAATTAAATAATAGACGCCCAATACAACTGTAAAATACAAAAATAAATCCCTGAAGAAAACGTCTAAAAGGCGACTCGTCGATCGAACCGTGTACTCCTTACATTTTGCCCTCTGCATATGACAAATTCTTTTATGTAGGATATGCTTAATAAACGACACGAGAAGTAGACTACTAACCCAAGTTTTATTGTACAAGTAAAACAAAAGCTATTTCACCTTCATTTTGTATCTTATTGAGTAATTTTGCTTATCTTTCACTTAATACAATCCCCTAAAACATTACTGGACCCCCTGCATACCTGGTTATTACAAAAGGATCTAATAGAATCTTTAAATTAAGTGCCTTACTTACTCGAATGACTCGTTTTAAAGAACAAGCCCAGGCACGGCGCGTACAGAGTAAAGTTTACCTGCTGTAGTTGTAACTGTATTATTTGGTTCACAAAATACGCCTAAGCGAGAAGAAAAATGTATGTTGAACTCGATCTAACCCTCTAGAATCCTAATGTGGAATGAAATGAGTCTTGTGGACTATACCAAAGATCTGTAGTCAGCTTATTGTCCATGCGTGATCTTACCATCAGGTAGGAATCTTTCTCATTGTTTTGCTACACGTTATTTTACCAGGAATCCACCTACTCCCTCATGCCTTTACCCCTATCTCTGGAAACATAACCAAAAATGCACCAAGACATCTAACCTCTACTAGTATTGTCTACTCACCAACTTGAAGGACTCCATCTACACATCCACTCTCCAGCAGTTTTAATCCTTTGTAAAAACTAAGGTTCTGATGTTCTCCACTAGCACTCACTGGGGTCACCCGCGATAACGACGAGTACATGCAAATATCTCTTTCATCCCTCGGGAACGACCAGAAGATTATCCTGCGCTGCACAGGCTCCGGGATACGGTCGTACCGCTCCTCTATCCTCTGGAAGGGGATGTTTTCTGCCACTATCTTGGCCGTGATGTCCAGCAGAGAGTCCGGCCTTCTAGTTTGGAAGCCATTGTCTTGGCCTACGCGCGAACAGCACTGCCTCTTGGCTGAGGACATCACTCACTGACGACCCGCCGCGCGCGACAGCCGTAGTGTAACTGAGCATGCGCCGGGTCACGTGGTCTACGATTACCCCCACCACCTCACTGCGAGAGTCGATTGTTGCGGTCGATTGTCGAAAGTCGAGTAATCGGTTGGTATGGTTTTAGCTGAACGAACTCCGTTTATTACAGTGTAATTTGGTAAATTATGCTTCTCGCTTCTGTATTACAAATAGCCTACTCCTCAGTCCTCCTGAACGGCTGAAGCGATACGCACGAAATTTGCCGCGGTCACAGTAACCAACTATGGTACAAATCGAACTACAGAGCTTTACTTTACCCTACGCTAATAAAACTTTAGAAATTTAACACGGGTATTATAGGTCGATTGGTCGTCATGAAAGTATTTGCAGATAACAATAAAAAGGTAAACAAAAGAGTCATAACACATGTTTATCAACAGATAATCTAAACTAGCACATTACAAATACAGAACAAAAGGGGACAGCGATCGAATTATTATGGTACCGTTGAGCATAATTTACTACAAAATGTATAACCAATTAGGCATATACATAATTGACTTTAGACATTGCAAGTAGACATTACATTTACGTGAACTAAAAAATCTTTTGACTTTGAATACTGCAAGCTGCAAGTAGACATCTCATTTATGTGAACCAATTGACTTTGGTAACTGCAAGAGGACATCTCAATATATGTAAATCAGATGTCCCATTGACTTTGGATACTGCAAGTAGAAATCTCCTTAATGATAAACAGATGTTCAATTGACATTTTTGATACTGCACGAAGACATCTCAATATACCTATGTAAACCAGATGTGTTATGTCACAAATAGACTGTGATTTAAATAACCTTTGACAACAAAACCCCTCAAACCGACGAGAAGCCATTTGAAGTTACTGTATGTTAACCTATTCATTTCGTAAATTAATCCGCAGCTTATTAAATTATAGGCTACGTTAATAAAGTAAGTTCAAGTATTTAATCTTACTAGAGGTCGTCCAGTGGTCGAAAACTCGACCAAAAATATGTAAATGAAATTAAATTAAAAAATAATAAATGAAATGAAAAATTCTTTATTTATTCAGGCAAAGTTAGGGCCACATGGCCGTTTCTTACACTATGTAATGTACGTACAGTGTCAACCCCACACTGTAAATAAAACATGTGGCAGGAATTTGTTTTGATTTTCTGTTTATATTTTGTTGTTATATCGTCACCATCATGGCAACCCATAACTCCCATGTTATTTTTTTAAGTTTTCAAATTCATTTTTTGCGCTTATTTTTGAGCCTATTTTAATTTATAAAGGGATTCTGCACATCTACAGGAATATATCTTTCTATCAGTATGCGTGGATTTTCCCTGTGATGCACACGAGCTGAGAAAAAAGGTTTTAAAGAAACATGCTTGCCTATTAATATATAGATCTTATAGAAAATACCACACTTTTCCTATTATGATGCAGTTTATTCATCAATGTACATTGCTAGACAATATAGATTGATGAGTTTTGAGTTTATCTAACACATAAACTGCAGCCATGAACAAAAAGTGGTAATTATTTATCAATAAAAATTAGGCTATTTAGGTGAACAATGAGAGTTATAAAACTCCTTTAAGTGTTTACGGTGTATTTCTCGGAACTGAATGATAGCTAAAAGCCATTAAATGTAAATATTTTTATACCCTATCATAAACTAGGAATCAAACTAATTGTTCTATTTATGAGGTTATTTAAAGATAAGCTTAGACCTATATAAAATTTCATTAAGTTGTCATTTGAATCATCATCGTTTTATCCTTCCATTATAACTTTTTTTTTATTAAAAGCAGATGGTTCTACTATATATCAAACTAACTAATTTATTTATTCCCCACTATAATTACCTTTCCAAAATTATTTCTGCAAAAACCCCGACAAAAACAAGACCCAAACACTATCACGATAAGAAATATCGAGATATATCGAAACACCGGTATCGGTATATCGCTCGCATCCATCGACTGGCCGCCCCACCACAACGCTTGTGACGGGGCCGCGTCAGCTGTGACGGCGCCCGGTAACCAGCGCACTTTGTTTATCTTCCCCACATGTTTTGTATGCACCGAGTCGGGCGCCGACAAAGTAAGCTCCCCCCCTCTCTCTCTCGCACCTTCCCCCACTACTTTCCCACCACTTCCCCCACCACGTCGTGTTAAATCTCTCATAAGCTTCTGCTACGGGGCACCGCCGGTCTGGCGCTTGGAGGAGAGGTCAAATTTTAAATTCAGCTTTTATTTTTATTTTGAAAAAGTCCAAAAATGTTTTTGCTAGAAAATTGCTTCGTTAGAAGGATCTCTTACAGGGATATTTTATTTATAATGAAATGAATAATGCGATGGTTTTGGTGCTGTGAGAGCGTCCCAGAAAAAGCCTTTCAAACCTTCTTTTTCAGAAAACTAGAGTTACCTTTTGCCTTTAGAATATCTCGTCGCACTTCTTGCAAGCCACAACATCTTTATCTTTGTATCTTATTTTATCTTTGCCTTTAATAACAAAATATCCTTATTTTCCATCCAGATACATTCTCAGTTATCTGTGGTTTAGGAAAAACCCATTTAGCCCCTACGTATGTATTACAAATTTCTAGTGCGTTTTAGTGCATTACTAGCAGAGTACCCGTCCTTCGTACGGGGTTGGCATGTAAGTATAAAATGCTTATTGCAGTTATACCAAACTCAAGCTTTGCGTTTGCAATGGGGACATATTACTGGTAGAACACATTTTGATCAAATTTGCTTCTTTAAATTTACGGTATACTGTAGTATTACGAATACTCATAAGGTTAACATGGGGAACAACAGAGCCACTGGGGCAGAGCCCGAAAGGATTTTTGATATAAGAATATGCCTATATGTTAATCGAGAATGTGAGCTATCATCATGCCAAATTTCAGCCCAATCCGTCCAGTAGTTTATGCGTGATTGAACTTCAAACACACAAACAAACATTCACATTTATAATATTAGTAAGATTAGTAAGATAATTGTTTGAGGCAATGCATATATTGCCCAGTGCCTAAGTGTATACTTTTCCGGTAAACATACAAATTAAAGTCTTCATTTTACACTTTGTGGCACATGAAAAATATTCCAAAAACATTTTAAAGTTAACAATACAAATTATGAATCGGCGAATGTAGTTAATGGCCTTAATGGTTTTTAAATATCCCTACCACATAACAGTACTAATTAGTATAAATTAAAGAAGTAAACACAGTTAAGAATATGTTGAACTAATAATTAACATAAAAGTGCCAATAAAAACAAATTTATTGATGTTAGACCTAGGTAGATCCTCCCTATCTAGAGAACGAAAACTACTACAAGGCTGTCATGTGAGAAGAAATTGCTCCATATTGGAGTATTTTCTCTTATTAATTGTCTTTTTAACACCACAATCCAGGATTATATTAACAAAATGTTAAAATACAAACTAAATAAATTATATTACAGTCCTATTCCTCTATATGCGTTATACAAATAATGAACTAAAACAGAAAAGAGAATACAAATTGGGAGTTAGCTACACACAACAGTCTAGGATCCACAATTGGCCAAATATATCCTTTGTAAAACGCTTCTCCATTCATAGAGAGATCATGCATTTTTTAACGACACCTTTAGGCCTACATGTAAATATTAAATAGTTTTTCGCTGTTTGTGGTACATTATTACCTTTAGCTAGAATTTTAGTTGTTAACATGGTGGATACTATATGCGGGTAGGTTATGCAGGAAACCGTTGAAAAAAAATTAAATTTAACATCATGTTTGGTTGGAAATATTTTTATTTTGCCAAAACACTTTAATCATCCTCAATTGTAATAAATATTTGTAATAAAACCTGTTAGGATGTGTCAGGACTAAGCCTACTTTAATATAAGGTAGAATATGGTTTGATTTAGTAAAATATGGTTGGAATAGTTCTCATTTGGCATTTCATTGGGATATTAAATATTGATTTACTTTATTTATTTATAATACTAGTAGGTAATTAAACTTCATCCATTTGTCGTAAATTGCAATAAACCTTGATTAACACGTCCTTCCTAACTAGAATTATAAACCTAACTTAATTGAATGTCTAAATAAATGAGCTTGTAATAAAAATTGTTATAATGAAACACTATGTGATAAAGAAAGTAATATGACATATAACCAGCTTCATTGGCACAATTTTGTCCTCTAGCAAATGTCCAATACAGGGAATAAGACCTATTACCATAGATAAAAGGAGTATAGACAAAAGAGTATGTCTACTTCTTTAATCTATGCTATTACCGAAGGTCTGACCTAGACGCACACCATCCGTTCAAAAATCAGAAAATTTTTATCCCAAAATATTGTCAAACATGTAAAGAAATAGAGAAGGTTTCATCAACAACGATGGTTTACTTTTCCTATAAAAACGAGCAAATAAGGGTACTTTTGTGCGATACCGACGGAGAGACAAGTAGACGGAAACTCAAAATACAGAATCCTTTTTTGTGTTTTCCCGGTTCAAAGAACTCAACAAAATAAGTTAATTAATAACACATACTCGTTTTGACTTCCTTTTCCCTAAGCTGTAAAACTGGACAACCAAAATCCATATAAATCCAAGCATTGTAAAGAAATAATCTAATATTATTTATAGAGACAGAAAACATTTTCATATACCTTATTTGATTATTTTGTTTCTTAACTGCATTAAACGCTATTTCTGATGAACATTCAGAATATTTGTCATAACGGTTTAAGGTTTCGAGGTTAGACCGTGGTATTACTTACTAGACGAAAGCTGTTTGAAATAACCCATGTAATTAGGAATGCTACTATGATTGTAAGGGATTTAGATAGCTTAACATAGATCTCTTGATAACTAATTTTGGTGAATTTAGAAAGTCAACAGATAATCTCTGAAATTCTGATGCATAGGGAAAACTAATTACATATTAATCAGAGCAGTCATAGAAATATCTT